CTCCCTTGAGGAAAGTTCTTTGATCCTGGAGAGGAGGCCACAAAGGAAGTGGTACAGTGGGAGTGGCCTCTGAGGACTGGCATGCCAGGAGCTCCCAGGGTCATGGAAATCAAGGGTGGAGGAGTATAGGAAACCACCCTAGCATGGGGTCCAGGCTGCATGAGTGACCGAGTCAGTCCTGGGCATGTTCTGATGAAGGTGGGAGGGCAGGAACCTGGAGGACTCGGTATGGCTGAATGGCAGGTTCTTTGGGTGTGGGGCAGCAGGGGAGTGACTGAGGAGGAGGCTGTGGTCAGAGAGGGTTACGTGAATTTGCCAATGCCAGTGAGTGAGAGCTGTGATGTGGGAGTGCCATGCCAAACTCCAAGGTGTACTCAGGATGCCACTGAGGTATTAGTGTGGTGTCTTGGCTGACAGAAATTGTGTTGTGTGTGTTTGCCAGGATGGTATTTAGTAATTAGGTTTATGACTAAGGGGTGTGTATGTGTGTGCGCACATTGTATGTGTAATTAATTATAGCCCTTATTTCTAAAAATAATTGAAATAACATTTCTTTCCTTCATATAAACAACTCAAAATTCTCATCTAATGTTTATTTACATAGGACATAAGATAATGGATCAGTCATAATCTGGAGGCCTTTGGTGTTGGGGCCGTCCATTTATTTTGTTCTTCCTCACCCCTATTATAGTTTTCATGGTGGGGCTGTGTTTCTTCCTGTGTCTCCCTTACTGCCAACCTATTTTGTAAATTTCCCTGAGGGAAGGAACCATTTTATGTCCCCCTCCACCCACAGCAATCCACACAGTACTGTGTACATGATCAATGTTGTCCATCCCAAGAACTTGTCTCCCAAAATAGAAAATACAGATGTAACAATGACCCTCAACAAGGAAGAGGGGGTTACTTCTAAGTGTGCCTTGGGCCCAAGCACCTTTAATATCTGATACCACAATGACCCATTCAGTCTCTTATCTTCAGAATGGGAAAACTTTTTCCTCTGCCTTTAAAAATGTTCAATTTTCCTCAATCCCTAAACCCTTGCCTTTCTTTTCTTTCTGACTTGATCCAATATTTCTCTTTATTTTGATGCCAGATTCCTTGGATACCTGTTATAATTTTTCTTTGATCCTGTTCCCACCTCCAACCCCCAGTTAGATTCTTCCTTCAGCTGGCATTCTGCTAAGAAGCTCTTGGATAAGGACAGAGAAAGCTGATTAACTTTACCACTTTAAGAATATTGTATTTTTCATTAACAAAAAGACATATATTCAAAAATCAAAGGAATAAAACTACAAAGTAAATGATAGGTAGTGGAGATCTTCCCTGAACCTTCCAAATCATACTAGGTATATGGTTCCCAGCATCGGCCCATTTGCCCAGCCCAGCATGGACTAACTCCATAATCTTGAAGGAGCCAGTTCAAATTCCTCACCTATAAGGAATACCTGCCTCTTAGGGTTGTTTGTAGGATAAATGATGTAATTAATGGAAAGTGTTCCCTAAATGATAAAGAGTCTCTTGACTGTTCCTCTACCTTCCCAACTGACTGGGAATCGTCCCCTAAGGCTCTCTCCTACAGGGAGGGCAGATAAGTTCTAATGAGGAAGGAGTTCAACACCTGAGCAGCTGAACCACGCACAGTAATTATTCACCTGAAAGTAAGGAGGTTTGACAAGCACTTTCTAATGTCTTTTGGTCTAAAACCTATGACTATGAAAAATAGTTAATTGGATATTGTTTTACATTATGTTCCGGCTCTCTTGACATCCCCTACACCGTAACTCCTTGAGGGCAGGGGTTGTGTCTCACAGACCTTATGTAGCTTCTGTAATATTTAACACAATGCTAGACACGTAAAAGATATTCAAGAAATGCACCTACTGCAGAAATGATTCTTTGGTATCCGTTTCCCATACTGATTTAAATGTGAGGCAGGTGCTTGCACAGGGAAGCCATGTTCCCCAGATCTCTCCCCTCCCTGTCATTCTCTCACCTCACAGAGCTTCTCTAGGTCTGCCACTGTGTGTCAAAAATCCGAGGGGAGGCTCACTTCTTAGGTAGGTGACGCTTATCCTCTTTGAATTTTGATTTCAACACCTGACAAATTGCTGTAATGCTTCCCCTGCCTGCCTCAGAGGTTCTGAAGATTAAATGAGAGGTTGAATTGGAGGGTAGGCTTTTAAAACTGCAGAATACCTTTCTGGGGTGGGGTAGCTGTCGCTAAAACTATCTCTTATTCTATTTCTCTGGCAAAGTTGGGGCCTCACGTAAGCAGCCAGAAACAAACTTTCAAATTTAAGATGTGGCTTACAGATAGGTGTTGTTAACAAGGCAAGGCTTCTTGTTTAAAAAAATTATTATTCTTGCTAACTAGATAAAAGGCTTTTAAAAAATCATTAAACTTTTCTGTATCCTCTTGATTCCAGCACTCTACTGTACGCTATGCCCCATAGCTCTGGTCCCCTCAAGGGTCAGGAATGATTTCAGGTCAAAATTTGAAGTAAATAATTGTGATGCCTACGCTGCATATTTCTTTTTTCATTTTCAAGTCATTTTAATGAATATCATCTTATGTAGTCTTTATAGCTCTTAGACTGGCAGGGCAAGAGGTGTTTTACAAATGAAATCAAGAAGTTCTATTTTGGGACCCTGATTTTTAGAGCCCTACCTCCATAGGCTTTGTAGGATGCCATATATCCCTGGTTGTGTAAACAAGTGAGGCCTTACACAACAGTGGCATTCCTGTGAGCTGGCTAGAAACTGTGAACTAAAAATCTTAGTCCCCCCTAAGAGTGAATGGCCCCCCTCTTGGGCAAGAGGACCCCAGAAATATCCAAAAGCTGAGTTGCTGGCTATGAGAAGGGAGGTCAGACATGCCTTATCATGTCCCCTCCCTTCTTGGAGATGTCCTTTGTAACCTATTAACCCCTAAACCTAAGTAAAACAAAGTTTAAATCACACCTATCGGTCATGAATTTACTTACCAGATCACTTGAGTTTGGTTATATGTCTGGTGGCTTGTCTCTGATTAACTAACTTCCTTATTTTAATTTAAAACTTTCCAAGACATTAGACTTCATTTACAATCATAAATCAAACAATCTTAAAAACCACTTCTATCCTGTAATCTGCTTCATGATGTTTTGGCTTTCTGGGCCAGACCAATATGACTTCCACGTATTGATTTATGATTGTAATTCCTGTCTCCCTGAAATGTATATGGCCAAACTATAACACAACCATGGTGAGACCACTTGCTCAAGGCTTCCTGGGCATGGCTACACATATTCAGTTCAGAATAAATCTCTTTATGTTACAGAGTGTGGGTTCTTTTCCACTGACAAAATGCAGAATCTCAGGCACACCCTAGACCTCCTGGATCAGAATCTGCAGTTTATCAAGACCCGTAGGTGATTCATGTGCACATTCAAGTTTGAGAACACCGATTTGATTAGGGGTTTCAAATAAAGGTATTAATGACTTAACATTATCTTCTCTAAGAAAAAAAAGTAAGGTATGTTTTGTTTTTCTAAGTAAAGTGCAATGACTCCACAGCTCACAGCAACCTCAAATTCTCGGGCTCAAGTGATCCTGTTGCTTCAGCCTCCCCAGTAGCTGGAAGTATAAGCACCTACCAACATGCCTGGCTAGTTTTCTATTTGTAGAGATGGATTCTCACTTCACTCAAACTCCTGAGCTCAGGCAATCTACCCGCCTAGGCCTCCCAGAGTGCTAGGATTGTAGGTGTGAGCCGCTGCGCCTGGCTAAGATGTTTATTTGTAAATATCTCTTGAATTAGAAATATTTAGTCCCAAAGGGTGAGTAGTAGAATTCGAGACCTGGCTTCTTAGAGAGTTTCCTGAATGAATATAGAGGATCCTATCTCTTTTTTTTTTTTTTTTTTCTTTTTGAGACAGAGCCTCAAGCTATCCCCCTGGGTAGAGTGCGATGGCATCACGCTCACAGCAACCTCCAACTCCTGGGCTCAAGCGAGTCTCCTGCCTCTGCCTCCCAAGTAGCTGGGACCACAGGCGCCCGCCACAACGCCCGGCTATTTTTTTTTGGTTGCAGCCGTCATTGTTGTTTGGCGGGTCAGGGCTGGGGATTTGAACCCGCCACCTTAGGTGTACGTGGATGGCGCCTTAGCCCCTTGAGCTATAGGCGCTGAGCCAGAAGATCCTATCTCTTAAATCACTTAAATGGCTGATATTGCTTGGCAAATAGTGTCACAGAATGACATTTCAGCGATAAAAAAGAAGGAATGACACAATAAAGCAACAAATTACAAACCTAAAATAGTAATATGTTTTGCCTTTTCATAAAATATGCAAATAAATTTTTATTATATAGGTGATAGCTAATCGAACAGTACTTAGAAATGCATCAACTTGCTGAAAACATTGACTTCTAGTTTTCCCTGGGTTAAATAATTTGGCTCCCGATAACATCTTAGAATCATAAACTATCCACTTCTCTTTCCTAGTAGTTTAATCACTCTCTAACTACTAAGACTAAATCACAGTCTATTTAGACAAATGTATAGAAAGTTTGTTAAGTGCCTTTACTATGCTGTTCTTCACTCAATTTATTTGTTAAAACTCTCTGCAAATGCATTCCAAGTCTACTTCATCAGGTTGTTAACAACCTTAGGCTTTAATTACATGTTGGCTTCACTTAGGAAAGTTTCATTATAGACTAAATTAGTAGTCCTAGAATCATACTTTGTAAGAGCTTTAGAAATGATCCAATATAAACTTTGTTTATGCAAATGGAGAAAATGAAGCTCAGAGAAGGGATGTGATTGGCTCAAGGTCACCCTTACAGTGTTGGGGCTATTCGAGGTTTTATCTGAAAAGCTCAGTGTTCCATTTTAGTTGTAAAGAAGTCTGAACAAAACCAGCCACTCACCAATGTTTTGGCTTTCATGTTCGCCCCCCCACAGAGTTCAGCCTATGAACTAAGATTTTTGGATCAAACTCTTCCCTGAATCAACCCACCTTGTTAGCAATCTCCTGGATTTCTGCAGTGGCAGGTTTAGCTTCAGTTAAACCTCCAGGCATCATTTTGGCTGGTTATTTCTTTGCTGGGCGGGATGCTGGAAGAGAAGTGATCAAGTACGTGTGGAGTCAAGTTTTTGAAGAGCTCCGCCTACAGAAGGTTAGGTACGTGTGGAGTCGAGTTTTTAAAGAGCTCCGCCTATAGAATGTTTTATTTTCTACAAAGAGCAAAGAGGCAGGAGGAGAATGAATATGCCTCAAGGCAAGCCTTGCTTCCTCAACAGAATATGCTAAGTGGAATCTGGAAGAAAGAGGAGTTGGGGAAGGTAAAATAGGTGTGTACGGGAGTCATGCTGTAACAAGCATCCGACATCCCTGCCTGCTCTTTGACAATGGTTCCCTCCTCTTACATCATCTGAAGTATGAAATCTGAAGCCACAACCAGAATTGCTAAATGTTTTAAAACTTCTAACACAAAATTTTATTTTCAAAGGAATACCTATAAATAATGTCAAGGCTGATCATTTAGAATTTATTTGATCTTAAAAAGAAAGTAAAAGGATCTATCTGGAGGACATTGGCTATATATGTGTACTTTTATTTATATTTCTAGAAATGTTTAAAATTAAGAAAAACACAAAGAATAAAATAACAAACATCTATATTTCTATTGGTCAGAATTAAAACATTTAACATTTTGTCACATTTGTTTTCTTTCTTTCTTTCTTTTTTTTTTTTTTTTTTTGCAAGGGCTAGGTTTGAATCCTCCACCTCTGACATATAGTGGCAGCGCCCTACTCCTTTGAGCCACAGGCGCCGCCCCCCTTTTTTTGTTTGTTTTTTGAGAGGGGATCTCACTCTGTCACCACCTAGGCTGGAGTGCAGTGGCAGGGTTACAGCTCACTGCAGCTTCAAACTTTTGGGTTCAAGGGACCTTCCCACCTTAGCCTGGGACTACAGGCATGCCCACTGAGCCCAGATAATTTTTCTTCTTCTCTTTTTTTAAGGCAAGAGATAAACACATTTTATTGAGAAAGAGAAAGGTTTATAGAGTGAGAGCAAGATACGTTCACCGTAGACAGCAAACTGGGCCCCATTGTGGCAACAAAGAAAAGGCAAAGAGGCCTTCTTATTTATTTTTTTTGTAGAGAGAGGTCTCCCTATGTTGTCCAGGCTGGTCTCTAATTCCTGGCTTCAAGCCAGCTTCCTGTTTTACCCTCCCCAAATGCTGGAATTACAGGTGTGAGCCGCTGTGTCTGGCCTTTTTATTTTTTTGTAGTTGGTTTTAAGAAATAAAATATGTATTACAGGTATGGAGGAAACTCCCCATCCCACCCCAACCTTGCTCTCACAGAAGTAAATTACATTGTGAGTTTGGTATCCTTCTAGCCCACTTTTATACTTTTACTTAGTGTGTTTTTTTTTTTTTTTTTGAGACAGAGACTCAAGCTGTCACCCTGGGTAGAGTGCCATGGCATCACAGCTCACAACAACGTCCAACTCCTGGGCTCAAGCGAGTCTCCTGCCTCAGCCTCCCAAATAGCTGGGACCACAGGTGCCCGCTACAACGCCCGGCTATTTTTTGGTTGCAGCCATCATTGTTGTTTGGCAGGCCTGGGCTGGATTCGAACCCACGACCTTAGGTGTATGTGGCTGGTGCCTTAGCCACTTGAGCCACAGGCGCCGAGCCTACTTAGTGTGTTCTTAACATTTTTCCTCAAATTGTATGTTAAGCATACATTTTATGTTATGTTCTTTTTCTGCTCCATGTGCTTTTGAGTCCTGATACACAGATGGGAACTTAATCCAGTTCATTTCCTTTAACTGCTCTGAGCCGTTCTGTGCTAGATCCATCTCTGTGTTACTCTAGCTAACTGCCACATGGTTTGTGCTACTCCGTACTTTACACACTCATTCCCCAACTTATGAAGATTTTGGTTGTTTCTATTGCTTCCTCCTTATAAACAATGGTATATTTTTTGCACCATGAGTCAGGGCTTCGGCAGGCAACTTATCTACAAACAAAATTGCCATGTTGTGTGGCTCTTTATTGATATTCTTTAAATTTTGGGAAGGAATAATCCATATACATAATAAAAATGTTCAGCAAAACCAAAGAACTTGCAATGTAAGGACTTCTTCACCTGTCCAATTCCTCGGCCACCCTTCTACTGTCCAGAGACAATTACTGGCACCAGCTTCTTGTGTACTTTTTAGAGACATTCTTTACACATACAAATGAATAATTAGCTGAACACACACATACTTATACATGCGGATGTGTTTTCTTTTTATATATCTGTAACTCTACTACTTCAATTATCCTACTCTTTGCTTTACCCCTAATATATTTTGGAGATTGTTTTATATTGCTACATGTTATACAGAGAGGTGCTTCTTTCCTCTCTGGTGCTTGACAGGTGCTTGGCAAGTTCTTGGTGATGGGCGAGTGCACTACTGACTACTCTAGGGCCACTGTGAAGCTATGTCTTACTAAATGCCTTCACCTGGCAATTGAGAAAATCGGCAAATGTGGATAACAAGGCGCTCACTCGAGAGGCTACAAGTCAGCCAGCTGTGGTGGCTCATGCCTGTAATCCTAGCACTCTGGGAGGCTGAGTTGGGTGGATTGCTTGAGCTCAAGAGTTGGAGACCAGGGAGCTGCCTGTGGCTCAGTGAGTAGGGCGCCGGCCCCATATACCAAGCGTGGCGGGTTCAAACCCAGCCCCGGCCAAACTGCAACAAAAAATAGCCGGGTGTTGTGGCAGGCGCCTGTAGTCCCAGCTACTTGGGAGGTTGAGGCAGAAGAATCGTCTAAGCCCAGGAGTAGGAGGTTGCTGTGAGCTGTGACTCCACTGCACTCTACCGAGGGTGAAAAAGTGAGACTTTGTCTCTACAAAAAAAAAAAGAGTTGGAGACCAGCCTGAGCAAGAGCAAGACCCTGTCTCTACTAAAAATAGAAAAACTAGCTACACATTGTGGTGGGGACCTATAGCGCCAGCTACTGGACAGGCTGAGGCAAGAGAATCACTTGAGCCCAGGAATTATGAGGTTAGTTATGATGATGCCATGGCACTCTACCCAGGGTGACAAAGTGAGCCTGTCAAAAAAAAAAAAAAAAAAAAAAGAAAGAAAGAAAAAAGTTTTTTACACTTTTGTTGTTAGGTAATAGAGGTCACTGGACATTTTGTGCTGTACAGAATCCATTTGTGTTGTAGGAGGATAAAACTGGAAGCAATGTGAAGGCTAGTGTATCAGGAAAGCACCAAATAACTATCTGTTTTTTCCTCCTATATTCTCAACACTCAACACTCTTTTGGCCACCAAAAATGTGTGGAGCTGATAATTTGTAACCCAGGTGTTGGCTGTAGTCTTGGCTTCAGAAAAGGAGAGTTTCTGTTTTGTTTATGGAGTAGGAAGAAACAGTGTAGCCAGCAGGATGGCAGGAGGGCCAGCTCGTACTCTGGTGCTGAGATCCTTCCTGTGACTCCTAATCTGCAGAAAATTGACTGAATTTGCTCAACACTTGGCGTTAGTGGATTTTTTTTTGTGTGCAGGTAGCAGGGCAGGTCACACCAAGTATTATGTGGATTAATGTGAAGGAACAAAAGAGGGTATTTTATTGTAATACTGTTTGGTCAGGGTATGTACTGGTGTTTGAGGAGGAATTAGCCAGGTTGGATCTCATGAACCCTTTCAATCCAAATCTTTTTTTTTTTTCGATTCCCAGGCCCTCTTTTTATTTATAGTAATATCAAACCATCTACTTGCATTTTTTTCTGGTCTGTATCAGCTGGAATTAACTAGGCACTGAGTTATCTTTGGGATCATGTAGCTGTGTCTACTTTGGTGGATACAAGGAGCAGACAAACCACTGGCACAGTAGGAATCACAGTGCTGCAGCTGGAATCCAGCAGGAGCCCCTGAACATGCCACCCCTGAACACTTAAAGGAGGAAAGAAGGAGAGCTGCTCTTCATTTGTTTTCGAAGCAAATTCGTCTGAAAGATGGTGAATAAATGGTCAGCAGTGAGTCAAATATACTTTAATAAATTAGACCTTCAGCCTAGAAAAAAAAACAAAGATTTGCTTTTTCTAATAAACTGCCCTGAAATAAATTTATCAACAAATCCCAAAGATTTAGTACAATACAGCAATTTATATTTGCTCTCCTCTTTCCTTTCTTTAGACAAACACCAAATAAAATGCAGATGAAGGAAATGAAACACAACCAGAGGCCAACTTAAGAACTCAGACTAACTCTTAACGGTTCTCAACCTGTGGGTCACCACCCCTTTGTAACAATGAAAATACATGGTGGTTGGGGGGTGCCTATGGCTCAGTGGGTAGGGTGCCAGCCCCATGTACCAAGGGTGGCGGGTTTGAACCTGGCCCCGGCTAAATCACAACAAAAAAATAGCCGGGTGTTGTGGTAGGCGCCTGTAATCCCAGTTACTCGGGAGGCTAAGGCAAGAGAATCACCTAAGCCCAGGAGGTGGAGGTTGCTGTGAGCTGTGATGCCACAGTACTTTACTGAGGGAGATAAAGTTGAGACTCTTAAAAAAAAAAAAAATCGTGGCATTAGGAAAAGTTGAGAACCACTGCTTTAAAGAATATAAAATATTATGTTGGTTAATGTCATTTAGAATAAAGCTTTTGGGCACTACTTTTCATGCTGTTAGAAAGTCCCTGGAAGGGGAAAAAGATTGTTACAAAGTATTATAACCTTTTCAAAACTCACAAGGCAGGTTATTTGTCCTTTATTTATTTAGTTGTGGTCATGGAGACTATGCCAGTTTCCCATACTCTCAACAGTGCTGCAATATCATGGTATAAAGGACTCAAAGTGCCAACAGATATAAAGACCAGAGTTTCTAATCATAAATCATGATGCTGGGTAATGTTTGAATGAGAACATTTGATATGGATGGTCAGATGAAAGATACCAAAATGTCATTCAATCCAAATCTTGAAGAACCTGCTCCCTCCCACCCACTACAGCTGATAGAAGAGCCTCTGGTTGGGGAGGGCATGACTGGTACCAGTTCTTTAGTGCTGTGTCCAGTGGGTTAGGACTTGGGA